AGCTGCTGACATTAGAAAGTAAGAACTCAGCACCTTCGGTGACTAAGTGCAGTGGCTTCTGTTTAATCTCGCTGTTTTAATACCGCGTTTCTTGAAGTTGCATTTGATAACTCTTAGCGGGGTGTCTGGACATGAAGAGGCCATTTTCACCATGAAACTGTTTGCAAAACGGCGGGGACAGCACGTGCAGCCTTCAGCTCAAAGTCTGCATCAGATTCTCAAAGGGATCAGCACCCCTAAAAGGCTGGGAACTCCTGCTTTGAGAGGAACCGGGTGTCACCATCACTGCTCCCAAGGTCTAAGAACTCGGAGAGAGGAGTCATGTGACACTATTTGAAGCAACACAAAGTAGCCCTCGAGTCGTCTCCGACTCAGCGACCCTGTAGCACAGAGCAGAACTGTGCCATAGGGTTTCCAAAGCTGTAATCTTTATGGAAGCAGCCTGCCTCATCTTTCTCTTGCGGACACCAACAAGGTAGATTCAAACCCAAGTCATCACTCTGGGCCAATGACTCGATGTTTTGCAGCCACCTCAGGTTTGTCACCTGTAAAATGGGGATGCTGTTTCCTACTGGAGCACCTAGCATAGGGGCTGGAGATGGAGCCACCTCTCAATAAATGACAGTATGTGCTTTCTTCCCTGAATACTGCTTACCCCAAAGTCACGGCGAACAAATAACACACCCAGATCCAGAAGGAAACTCGGCAAGGCCTGAGGCAAATATGACTGTTGACAATTCAAGTCGAAAATTCCTTGCAAGGTGTTCCCCAGTGGCTTCAGGGCTAAAGTCAGTGTGTGAGTCAAATATGCACTGGCATCCACTGTGTGTCCCCTTCCCCCAGTGGACAGAAATTCTCGGAGCTCTCACTGTGCTATTTCCTCGGGGTTTAGACCGTAGAGAATTGTGGGAGGAAAGGGAACTACCTTCACTTACTCCCTACAGAGCATGAACACTAGACACCAAAAAGCTCACAGATGGAAATCCTGTCAATTTCAGCCTGCTTTTATTTTTATTTTTCAAAGGTATCTACCAATTCTGGTGGCATAGTGCCTAAGGCACCTGACTGCTAACCAGAAGACTGGTGGTTCAAACCCACCAGCCACCCCTCGGAAGGTTGGGCAATCTACTTCCATAGAGATACTGCCTCAGAAACCCAAAGAGGGGTCGCTCTGAGTCGGATCCGACTTGATAGCAGTGTGTAGCATTGCACTGACCAACTCTCTAGCAGCCCTGATGGCTCAACGGTTAAGCGCTCAGCTGCTATCTGAACCACTGGCAGTTCAAACCCACCCACCCAGTGGCTCCTCTGGAGAAAGATCTGGCAATTGGCTCCTGTAAAGATTACAGCCTACAAAATCCTATGGGGCCGTTCCACTCTGTCACGTGGGGTTACTATGAGTCGGAATGAATTCGAAGGCACCTAACAACCATCTAGTCATAAGGTTGTCCCTTCTACTTAGGTTCATCTTTCGTGCATCCAGTCATTCATCCAAGTTATACACTGTCCACCATATGCCTGTCCCTGGGATCAAGAGAGCTGCAGTCCCGCTCTCAGGGAATATTAAAAGGTTACATTCCACGCAAGTGTGGGCAGAAACAAGACGGGCAAGGTAATGTTGCATAATGGGTGGTGAAAGTAAAGCAGAGTTGAGGGGTGGAAAGCGCCAGGGGCTGGAGCAGCAGCTAGCAGCGGACTGTCTGAGGAAGGGCCCTTTCTACTCAGGACACCTGTCCTCAGAGGTAAGAGGACTGAATCTTCTCATCTAGAGACTGGCCCCAGCAAAGTCATGATCAGCGGTGAGGTACGAGTTACAGAAGTGAAGTACTCAAGATCTCAATGAATTCACTCACTGGCTTGCGGACAGGATTTCTCCCACGGTGGGCAGAGGGGAAGGTGCTTGTCCAGGTAGCCACCCGGACTGCCATCAGTCCTAACACTGGGAACATCACCGTGCCACATGGAGCACATGAATCTCAATGGTCCCCACAGGAGAGGACCCTTCAGTTTGGCCGCCACCCGACACTGAACATGTTGTGTTCCCATCACGCTTCTCGCCCTGCCCTCGCCCTTCTCCCTGGCCCTCTCCGTCTCGCTCCTTGGCCTTCCTTTTCTTAAACACACTCCAGTTCTTTGCAGGAGAGACTCCTGCTCTGGGGTACCCGCTCCCTCACCAGCCTCCCTTCCTCTCCTTATCCGGCTCCACGTCAATGCCGCTGCCTTCGCAGGAGAGGCTCCTCGGAGCTCAGATGGAACCTCACTGTAGCCCTCATTCCATAAGTGCCATTTCATCACAGTCCTTGCCTGAGTCAGAAATTTTACATTTTTGGGTGTGAGAAACACTGCCTCTAGTCCCCTAGAGTGTCTATTCCTTGATGCTCTGAGGATAGGGTTTCATGATCACTCCCTGACCCCTCCATCATCTAACACGGAGACTGCGCCACACTGCATGCTCAAAAACGTTTGCTGAACAATAAAAGGAGAAAAAGGTTGGTAATCACCAATTGCGTTGAATTCATAGTGGGGTGCGCAATGCAAAAATTTTGCTGTCAAAGTCCAGGGTTCAAGTAAGTTTTCTACTTTGGGAGGAAGGTTGGGCAATCTACTTCCGTAGTGATACCCCCTCAGAAACCCAAGGAGGGGTCGCTATGAGTCAGATCCAACTCAACAGCAATGAGTTTGGTTTTGGTTTAACCTGGGGGCTACTAAGAACATCTAACACCTTCCAGGGAGTGAAGGTCATACCCACCCACAGGGGGACCATCAACATCCTGAAGAGGAAGTCAATCTCCCAAAGGTTCATACTTATTTGGTTCACCACGGTCCTGACCCCTATCCTGGTCCTCAACAATAATTTGTGCACGACAGACCAGTAGGGTGACCAGCTGATCCCAGTTTGCCCCAGGACATTACTGGTTTTAGCTGAAGTCCAGTGTCCCGGGAAACCCCTTACCCCTGAGCAAACCAGGATGGCTGCCAGCCTACCCTGGTTCAGGCAGCTTAGACTGTATGGAAAGCGGGAAAGCAATGGAAGCCAAGTTCTTCTAGTGTGGTCTTAGAAGTGGAATGAGAGCAGACAGGAAACCCGGGAAGCCAGCAGCTTCCACCAGCCCAATCTCATGGCAAAGCCATTCAAATCCAGGCTCTGGAGCCAGCAGGCTTCAATCCCAGCTCTGCCTCTGAGCCTCAGTCTCCTCATATGTGAAATGGGAATAAAAACACAGTCTCCCTACAAGGGCTGCAAGATGGAAATACTGCAGCAAGGCCCTAGCAAGGGCGCCTCACCCATGGTGAAGCCTCAGGAATTTATCAATTGTCAGGTCCTCGCCCCTCCCGATTTTATTTTTCCCCCTAGAGATCTTTAAGCATTGAGGCAGATTAGTACTAGATTGTTGTTGTGGTGGTGGTTGTTATGTTTCATCGAGTCAGACCTGACTCATAGCGACCCCTCCTTGGGTTTCGGGGGGTGGAGGGGGGTATCACTATGGAAGTAGATTGCCCAACCTTCCTTCTGAGGAGTGGCTGGTGGGTTTGAACCGCCAGCCTTCTGGTTAGCAGTCAAGTGCCTTAGGCACTTCACTACCAGAACTCCCAGTACTGGATTATAAACAACAAATGAGAAGCAGCTCGCTTAGTAGGGAAAAGGTGGCTTTGGGAAAAACGAAGCCCAACCTGGGTTTGAAGGCCGGCCAGGCTACTTACTGGCTGAAGCATGGGGGACCATTAGCCTGCCGGTGTCTAAGTCTCTCCACGTGTAACGTCCGGAGGGGAACCGGTGGCCTTGCCGAGCCGCTGCGAGGATCAGACAGTCCGCGGAGAGGCCCCAATAAATACCGGTTTTAGCCTCCAGCTCGGGCATCAGGTACCGTGAGCGCCTCGGGGCTGGGCGCACGGGCTTGGGTGCAGCTAACCCGGAGGCGCAGGTCCAGCTCTGGCCCCTTCCTCCACCTCTGAGTAGTACCTCTGGGCGAGGATACCACGAGCACCTGCCCCGTGGACCGCTCAGCGTGATGGCCGAGTGCAGTCACTGGGGCCGCCTTCGCCTTCTCCCATCCCACGGGCCGCGGGGTCCTCAGACCTCTCAGGGCCCTCAACACCACGAGAAGCGGCCCGGAGCCCGCCAAGCGTCCCAACCCAGGCACCTCGCCTCTGCCAGGTGGCGGCCTGAAAAGTCGCCGGGGACTGCCCGGAGCGGCCTGAAAAGTCGCCACGGGGCCGTCCTCAGGGCTGGGACCTCGGACCCGGGCCCACGCCGGAGCTCAGAGCTGCGCATCGTCAGCATCCCGAGGCCCCGGCCTCTGCGGCCGCCCGCTGCCCTCTGCCCGAGCACCCAGCACCCCGAGTGCCCCACTCACCGCCTTCTTCATGGTGGCCGCCATCTTGGGACTGGACTATAGCGCGAAGCGGGGAGGGCCGCAACGGAACGACTGGCCCCCATGCCCTCTCTCACTCCCTGTCGGCCCTGATCGCCTGAAAAATACAATACGATATCTACATTCCCTTCTTGGGACCCTCAACCAACGATTCCTAACGTCTCGGACTCAGGAAGGAAATTGATGAAAAGACTTGGTACATCCCAATTAAAGGGACAGGCAACCCTCTTGTGGGCCGACAGAAACAGGGGGGTGTGGCGAGCGGAATCGACTTCCAGAAGCGGGCAGTAGGGGGCACCCGACACAAAGAGAGCAGAGGGGCGGGGTCTGAAGGAGCATGGCCGAATCTGGAAGCCTGGCCGAGTCCGGGGGCGGGACCTGGGGGGGGGGGCGGTGAAGAAAGTGAATTTCTATTCAATCTATGCAACAAACTTCCATTGTGATAAAGAGCCAGAAGGACCTTGACAATAAACCAAAAACCAAACTCACTGCCATCCAGTGGATTGCGACTCATAGTGACACCTTTTGGATTTCGGAGGTGGTAAATCTTTGCGGAAGTAGATTGCCCAGTCTTCCTTCCGTGGAGTGGTGAGTGGGTTTGAACCGCCAACCTTCCTTCTAGTTAGCAGCCAAATGCCTTAGGCACTGACACACCAGAGCTCCTTGACAATACGGTGGGATATTTATGTGCACTGATAATTCCGATGATGTGAAGGAGGAAGCACTCCGATTAATTAACCCCTTCAATGATATTTTTGAGCACCTAGAGTACAGGGGAGCGCTGGTGGCATAGTGCGTAAGACATTTGCCTGCTAACCAGAAGGCCGGTGGGTCAAACCCACCAGCCAGCCACTCCTGGGAAGGAAGGTTGGGCAATCTACTTCCGTAGTGATACTGCCTTGGAAACCCAAGGAGGGTGGCTGTGAGTTGGCATCCACTGGATGGCAGTGAGTTTGAGAGTACACAACTTGGTGCCCACTGCTGGCTTAGCCCCCCTAGATCCACAGCCCCCCCCCCTCTTTTTCAATACCAGGACTCCTGGGCACTTTTAACCTTACTGAGCACCTCACAGAACTTCTGTTTATGTGGGTTGCATTTATCAGTATTTGTCATGCAAGAAAATAAAACATAAAAAATGTATGTAAGATTTCATTTTAAATAATTATCAACTCATTCCACATTAACATAAGTATTTTACTGAGAAATAACAATTTTCCAAAACTAAACCCAACACTGAGAGAATGGCATGTTTTGCATTTCTACAATCTCTTTAATGCCTGGCTGGGTGGAAGGGCAAGGGCTCACCTTTGCTTCGACAGTCAGTATTTGGTCTTCCTTATTCATTGAAAGCAAAAAGCTTTCACAGGCATATGATTGAAAATACCATGGCTTGGGTCAGGCACACTTTACTCTTCAAAGGGACATCTTTGCTCTCACATTTTAAAGAGGTCTTTTGCAACAGCTTCGCCCAATGCAATATGTCATTTGACTTCCTGACTGCTGCTTCCATGGGCATTGATTGTGGATCCAAGTAAAAAGAAACCCTTGACAACTTTAATCTTTTCTCTGTTTATCATAATGTTGCTTCTTGGTCCAGTTGTGAGGATTTTTGTTTTCTTTATGTTCAGGTGTAATCCATACTGAAGACTGTAGTCTTTGATTTTCATCAGTAAGTGCTTCAAGTCCTTTTTGCTTTCAGCAAGTTTGTGTCATATGAATGTCACAGTTTGACAATGAGTTGTCATCCAATCCTAATGCCACATTCTTCTTCATATAGTCCAGCTTCTTGGATTATTTGTTCTTCCTACAGATTGAATAAGTATGGGGAAAGGATACAACCCTGCTGCACACCTTTCCTGAGTTTAAACCATGCAGTATCCCCTCATTCTGTTCAAACAAAAGCCTCCTGATCTATGTATAGGTTCCTCATAAATACCATCCAGTGTTCTGGAATTCCCATTCTTCTCAATGTTATTCATAATTTGTTATGATCCACACCGTCAAATACCTTTGCCTAGTCAATAAAACACAGGAAAACATCTTTCTGGTATTCTCTGCTTTCAGCCAAGATCCATCTGATATCAGCAATGATATCCCTCATTCTATACCCTGTTTGGAATACGGCTTCAATTTCTGCCAATTCCCTGTCCATGTACTGCTCCAACCGCTTTTTGTTTATTTTCAGCAACAATTTTATGTGCATGGGATATTATTTATGTTGCTTGATAATTTCCACATTCTGTTGGATCACCTTTCTTTGGAAAGGACACAAATACGGATCTCTTTCCGTCAGTGGCCAGGTAGCTGCCTTCCACATTTCTTGGCACAGCTGAGTGAGTGCTTCCAGTGTCACATTCATTTGTTGAAACATTGCAATTAACATTCCCTCAGTTCCTGGAGCCTTGTGTTTTGCCATTTCCTACAGTGCAGCTTAGACTTCTTCCTTCCATACCTTCGGTTCTTGATCAGACGCCACTTCCTGACATAGCGAACGTCAACCAATTCTTTCTGGAACACGGCTGCCTACGTACAGTTGCCACCAGCCACCTGACAGTGTGCTGCCCATGGTGGTTTGGGTGCCGCTGTGATGCTGCAAGCTATGCTGCCGATATTTAAAATGCCAGCAGGCTCCCCCACAGTGGGCAGGACTAAGCAGGACATCTGCATTAAGAGCGACTCAGAAGAATTGGCCATCAACTCCTGCAAACTGGCCGGTGAAGCCGTGCGGGCCACCACAGAACATTGTCTGGTTTGGAGCTGTGAGATGAGTCTCCTGGGTTGGGGGGCACTCAAAGTACACAGCGGCCACGACAATCCACTCTGGCACGGCGACACCCGTGACGATGGTGTGGGACCAGGCAGATTTCATTCCATTTACGCGGGTGACCGGGCGGCGGAGCCAACCCTGGCAACTAACATACACAAATTCGTTGTTTCCAGAAATAAGGAGAAGGAAGACAGGAGTAACCACTGTTGGCTCAGCAGCCAACGTCTTCCACATGGGCGTTTCTGGACCATCAGATGGGATTGTCCATAGGGCCTTCACAGAGTCTCAGGGAACAGGGGAGTGTCGTTGAATCGGGGCAGATGGACAGTGGGCTGGCTCCTGGCTGCCTTGGCTCTAAATCGGCCCCTTTGGAGACCCCTGTTCATGATGCCTCAGAGCCTCCCCTTCTCGCTGTCTCTCTCCCCAGCCCATGAGGCCATTTGGGCTCGTCCCTCTCCTCACGGGAGAACCAATTCTGCAAGTAGCTTCTGAGACGTTTGAGTCTTCTCCTTGTGTCCTTTCAGTCCCTTCGTACTGAGCATTTGCAAGTTTTTGTTTCCAGTTCTTTTCTTAGCCACAGACTGTCCTTAGCTGTTGGCAGCAGAGGAAGGAAGAAGCCTGGGGTGTACCTGGACGCATGTGGAGACGGCAGGTGAGGGAAGATAATCACCAATGACCGCTAGGAGGTGCTATCCCCACAGAAGGTGAATGAAGGCATTTGCCCGCTGTTTTATCCAACCCACAAATAATCTTTTCTCAACTGAACTGGCATTTAAACACTGGGAGATTTCACCAGCATGTTCAGGTTTGTAGTGGTGCTTGAGCTTGCGGAATCCAGTCTTGCTGACCCTGCTCCTGCCTTCCTCGTGAAGCACCTGCCGTGCTCATTAACCGTAACCATTTAGCTAACTGGACTCACCCGTGCCCCAGGTTCCCACTCAGGGAGTGGATACATGGTGGGAGGGGCTGCCTCACGGATGACGGAGCTGTCAGGCCCTGCAGCTGTATGAACATGCCTGGCCCCCTCTGATACACTAGACGAGGGGACTGGCATGTACGTGGTTCATTTGAAATCTGTACCATACCAGGTGCTGCTGTACATGAACCCATTGCTCTCCAGCCAATCCTGACTCACAGTGCCCCTAGAGAACAGACGAGAACTGCCCCATGCAACTTCCAAGGCTGTGAATGTTCACAGAAGCTAATCACCAGGTCTTTCTCCTGTGGAGCCGCTGGTGGGTTCAAGCCACTGGCCTTTCAGCTCACAGCCGAGCGTTGAACTGTTGTGCCACCAAGGCTGCTACCTACTGTAAATAGGAAGATGAGTAAGACACGGCACTACCATCAAGGAGCTTGGAGATGGCAGCCACGTGTCACCACAAGTCACAGCCTGTACAGCGGCGGGGCGGGGTCCTGGAGATACAGGGGCGCTCGCTCTGGCTGGAGCAGTCTGTGAGGACTCTGGATTTGGAGGCTGTTGGCTGCACCCAGAGGGATGGGTTCTAGATAGGGGTGCCGCAGCACTAACACAGAAGGACAAATGCCCTGTCCTCACGAAGCTGACAGCGATGAAAAACAGACCAGAACAAAAACATGTAAGTGCACTGCAGAACGGTTTGCTGTTAGCTGCCTCCCAGGCGCCCCTGGCTGGTGACCCTGCGCGCAACAGAAGGAGACGCCCCCATCCCAACCTGCAGCATCTTCCCCAAGGGCAAAAACCGGACCGCGCGACCTGCAGGCTTTCACTGGCTGATTTTTGGAATCAGAGCCCCAGACCTCTCTTCGTCGTCTGCCTTAGTCAGGACGTACCGCTGGAATCCGTTCACATCCTAGCAACACCCACGCCTCCACTGGCAGAGAGCGGTGGCTTTCCCTGAGGTGCATGGGTCAGAACTGAACTCGGTTCTTCCTCATGGAAGGCAAGAATTCTCCCTCTGAGCCACCCACGAGGCTGTTGTAGGCTAAGTTAGGTGAGAGTTACTAATAGGTATTATTAATAACAAGAACACATAAATAATAATAGAAGCCAACGTAATGGCCAGCATGAAAATGCCATGAGAAAGAGACAAAGAAAGAAGCAGTAAGTACGCTGGCTGGAAATTTGAGGAGGGAAAAAAGACCCTACTGGAATTGGTACATCAGCTACAAAACTGTCCAATACTTCGCAGTGGCTGCTTAATTTAGATTCTGTCACCGGGCAGTAATGAGCTCATCACATCACTTCATGACGGTACATGTG